ACCCAAGCCGCCATGATGAGCCCTTCTCACTGATCGTAATTATGATCAATAAAAGGTATCTAATTATGTCTTTCACCAGGAGATATGCACCAGCGGTTACTAAACATCGAATTACTTATTAATTGATATGTTTTTGTAAGCAAGTAAATGTTTTATGTAAAATATTGCTAAAATGAATTGATGTATGCCGATATGCGCACACGTGTGTGTCATGTGTGATCAGATAATTCAAAGAAAACAAGCAACAAAATACACATTTTACGTAGTTTCTTCTTGGTTTTAAATATCATTTTACATCAATGAAAAAAAATCATAGAAATATATTTAAAAACAATAATAATGGTTATCAAACTTGTCCAAGCTTCTACAGTAATTAACCTTGTTTTGAAGTTTGAAGTTAATCCGTTAATAATTACTCGAGATATCGAGCGGACACTGTTTCCGCAAGTCCATAAAGGGGCATAACTCCACAAATTATGGTCGGATAATGGCGGTTATCGAACTTGTCCGAGGTTTCATGGTAATTAACCTTGTTAACCTTTTTATACGGGCGTATAAAAATATATTCAGAGATCGATTTTCGGAGCATGAACATCGTTTTTATTCCAGATTTTTTGGGTGCGCAAAATATTCGAGTAGAACCTTTTTTCCCGATTTTCAGCCTTAAAAAATACCTGCGCAAATTACACAGGTGCGCAAATTACATGGGTTTTTACGGTATTTGATTCTACCATATCTGGGACTTGAGAAGAAGATTTTTTGAAATTTCAGTCAATTCAACCCTTTTTGGCCCCACCCATCAGCCCCTGGGGGTCAGTCAGGACTTATATGTGCTTACTATCAAACTGCTACCTTATACTGATATTGCTAACCCAAATTGAATTACTTCCAATGGAAATTAAACAAATGTTGGTCCAAAATGTGATTTCCCTATATAAACTATAGTAAAGTTTTCCCCCTCCCCAGGGGGAAACGTGAGACCCCAGGGTCAAGAAATTCACAATTTTGATAAAGCACCTAAGACCCTTCCATCTATGAAGAGTATTTGATTCTACCATATCCGGGTCTTGAGAAGAAGATTTTTGAAATTTTAGTCAATTTGACCCCTTTTGGCCCCGCCCCTCAGGCCCCTGAGGGCTTAGGACTAAACCGGCCACTATTTTTGTTGACCATTGTCCATGGAAGGTCCCTGCAAAATTTCATTGAAATTGGTTCAGGGGTTTTGGAGAAGAAGTCGAAAATGTAAATTGTTTACGGACAGACGATGCACGACGGACGACAACGGACAAAAGGCGATTGCAATAGGTCACTTGAGATTTTGTCTCAGGTGACCTAAAAGGTTGACAACCACTCTTTTTGTAGTGTTGGTCACATAGAATTTCTCATTTTACAATTTCTGTGTGGAGATCTTATTGATGAAAAAGGCACATTGATTCAAAGAAACAGTCCTGCACACTTTGCTTCACCAACAGTGACATAGAGCGGGATACCACACTTACCCGACTCAATGACTGTGAGGCCCCATTAGAGGTACATACACCTACACGGTTACCATAACTTACCTGACTCCATGCCTGTGATGCCCCATTAAGGGTACATACACCTACACAGTTATGACAACTTTAATAAAATCTATTACCTGTAACTGAGCGAGATCGGGTTATCTCAGTCGAGGGTTAAGATTCTGTAAAAAAATCCTAACCGAGGCGTTAGCCGAGGTTGGGTGTTACAGAATCTAAGCCCGAGACTGCGATAACCTGATCTTACTCAGTTACAGGTAATTGATTTTTTTTACTCGCACCTTTTAGTTCGAAAAACTAAATATTTTGCTAAAAACTTTAAGTATCCTGTCTTGGGCCTCAAATGATAACGACCTCTTCACTACTTAAGCTAAATTTGAATGTTTCCGCGTAAAAATGTAGTCCTTTCTTACATAGATGACAACGTATTTCACAGTGTGGATTATATTTTATCTACAACATCAGATATCTAAACTTCAAAACTATACATATAACGACTAAACAGAACATTTATAGTACAGATTGTCAATTTCAAGCAGTTAACGCGCGGATGAGTACATCGCATTGTAAAAATTCTGCGAAATGTCACGTAAAGGTGAAAGACAGATCGGACTAGATAGAAAAATCTAGCATGGGGTATGACGTGGGATATCTCTGTCTGAGGTGCGAGAAACCTGACTCCATGCCTGTGAGGCCCCATTAAGGGTACATTCACCTACACAGTTATGACAACTTACCTGACTCCATGCCTGTGAGGCCCCATTAAGGGTACATACACCTACACAGTTATGACAACTTACCTGACTCCATGCCTGTGATGCACTACTGAGAGTGTGGACAGTTCCACGCCCAACAGACAGCATCATTGGGTCAACAGTTACGTTACTCTCCACTAGGGGGCTCTAGTGTAAAAAAAACAAAAACAAGGACAACAAGAGTGAAGCATCTCTATATGACAATGATTGCAGTTTGTTGTACACATATGTACACATTTTCAGAACTGTTCTCTTGCTGTTACTTATTGCAATTAAATTGGATAGTGTTCTAAGCAATTTTCCACATTTACTCAGCAGCACTTAAAGAAATGCGTATATGACAGAAAGCTAACATTATGACGTCAAAAATGGCATTATACTAATAGCAATATACATTTCCTTTAAATCATCTCATCCATATAATTTTTACAAGGTGTAACCTTAGTGTAACAGTATCTCCGTTAACTTGGCCATCGTTGTGGACATCATGGTAATTTTACTACTTTTTATCACATTACTTTATATGGTTTATGTGTATATCCCATTTATTTCCTGTAATAACAACATTGTTTTGGTTTTATTTATACTCAAATTTCTATTGCATTATTCAATTCCATGGAGTACAAAATTATTCTAAAATATTAGATGACACAATTTTTCCTACATAAATATGTAGAACTTTGACATCAATTTAAGAGGATACTTATCTTGAAAATAAACTGATGCCCCCGGTAAAAACCCGGAGAGAGAAGTTGTACTGACCACTGTGCCAGGTGTGTAGGTGATGTCAGCGTACATCTCAAACGGTCTAACTACCCTCTGTCTGGTCAGTGTTTTGTACTCAATGACCTCTAACTCCGGAGAACCATTCATCTGAAAATATGAACATTTTTGTCATAGGGCCCTTAGATAAACCTACCTACCAACAATGATATCATAATCCAATATCAGTAAGAGTTATTATAAATATTTACCGAAAACTGATTGGTTCTGTCTGTTGTACTGTTAGAGTAATAGGGGATCAGTCATAGCGTTATGATGGACATTCCTGTTATGGTTTTCAATTGCTTGTTTGTCGTCCGACAGAACTGGTAACCGTAGAAACCACACCCTCTTATTATTACAGTGTACATGTTACACCATTCGGTAAACCAGTTTGTGGAAATGTATCACGAACTGAAACACAGAGATGAAAGGTTCTTTGTTGACTTGGATGTAAGGACTGAAGTATCACTCTTCATTCAGGATCAGGATGACGAAACAACACAGTTTAAGATGGCTGAAGTTTTATGTAATAGTCACTGTTAACCCTAACCCTAGTCACCCTCGATATCCAGGGGTTACGCTCACTTTCGCTCTCTACACCCCTGGAATATGTCACGGCTTGAAGGCTCAGTGTGCGCCACCTCGTTGATGAGACAAGCAGACTAGTCCGATCCTTTGACGTACAGCAAAAGAATCTCTTGGTCGTGTAACGGTAAAAACTGACAGGCTTTGAAGTCGGGCGTCTCTCCTTTGTAACCTCCAAAGGACAGGAATCAGCCTAGCGATTGGTCAGTTTATTTTACCTGAGACCAATCATACAGCTATCTCCATGCCTTCAATTTTGCTATGACATATTTCAGGGGTGTAGAGAGCGAATGCGAGCGTAACCCCTGGATATCGATAATGAACCCTAGTATGCCTTTTTACAAATTCTGATGAAAAACAGTTTAGGTCTTCTCACATAGTAAATAACATCATGTTAAAGAATCCTTTTTTTCATGTTTGTTTTCACACAACATTTTTGAAAGAATCTCATTTGAAAAAGATTTTCCTGGTTTCATTGTGTCTTAATAAAATGGTATTTTAACCTGACGATGTCCTTCCTCACTCAATGAAATGGTATTTTAACCTGACAATGTCCTTCCTCACTCAATAAAATGGTATTTTAACCTGACAATGTCCTTCCTCACTCAATAAAATGGTATTTTAACCTGACAATGTCCATCCTCACTCAATGAAATGGTATTTTAACCTGACAATTGTTCTTCCTCACTTAATAAAATGGTATTTTAACCTGACGATGTCCTTCCTCATTCAATAAAATGGTATTTTAACCTGACAATGTCCTTCCTACCTCAATAAAATGGTATTTTAACCTGACAATGTCCATCCTCACTCAATGAAATGGTATTTTAACCTGACAATTGTTCTTCCTCACTCAATAAAATGGTATCTTAACCTGACAATGTCCTTCCTCACTCAATAAAATGGTATTTTAACCTGAAGATGTCCATCCTCACTCAATGAAATGGTATTTTAACCTGACAATTGTTCTTCCTCACTTAATAAAATGGTATTTTAACCTGACGATGTCCTTCCTCATTCAATAAAATGGTATTTTAACCTGACAATGTCCTTCCTACCTCAATAAAATGGTATTTTAACCTGACAATGTCCATCCTCACTCAATGAAATGGTATTTTAACCTGACAATTGTTCTTCCTCACTCAATAAAATGGTATCTTAACCTGACAATGTCCTTCCTCACTCAATAAAATGGTATTTTAACCTGAAGATGTCCATCCTCACTCAATGAAATGGTATTTTAACCTGACAATTGTTCTTCCTCACTTAATAAAATGGTATTTTAACCTGACGATGTCCTTCCTCATTCAATAAAATGGTATTTTAACCTGACAATGTCCTTCCTACCTCAATAAAATGGTATTTTAACCTGACAATGTCCATCCTCACTCAATGAAATGGTATTTTAACCTGACAATTGTTCTTCCTCACTCAATAAAATGGTATCTTAACCTGACAATGTCCTTCCTCACTCAATAAAATGGTATTTTAACCTGAAGATGTCCATCCTCACTCAATGAAATGGTATTTTAACCTGACAATTGTTCTTCCTCACTTAATAAAATGGTATTTTAACCTGACGATGTCCTTCCTCATTCAATAAAATGGTATTTTAACCTGACAATGTCCTTCCTACCTCAATAAAATGGTATTTTAACCTGACAATGTCCATCCTCACTCAATGAAATGGTATTTTAACCTGACAATTGTTCTTCCTCACTCAATAAAATGGTATCTTAACCTGACAATGTCCTTCCTCACTCAATAAAATGGTATTTTAACCTGAAGATGTCCATCCTCACTCAATGAAATGGTATTTTAACCTGACAATTGTTCTTCCTCACTTAATAAAATGGTATTTTAACCTGACGATGTCCTTCCTCATTCAATAAAATGGTATTTTAACCTGACAATGTCCTTCCTACCTCAATAAAATGGTATTTTAACCTGACAATGTCCATCCTCACTCAATGAAATGGTATTTTAACCTGACAATTGTTCTTCCTCACTCAATAAAATGGTATCTTAACCTGACAATGTCCTTCCTCACTCAATAAAATGGTATTTTAACCTGAAGATGTCCATCCTCACTCAATGAAATGGTATTTTAACCTGACAATTGTTCTTCCTCACTTAATAAAATGGTATTTTAACCTGACGATGTCCTTCCTCATTCAATAAAATGGTATTTTAACCTGACAATGTCCTTCCTACCTCAATAAAATGGTATTTTAACCTGACAATGTCCATCCTCACTCAATGAAATGGTATTTTAACCTGACAATTGTTCTTCCTCACTCAATAAAATGGTATCTTAACCTGACAATGTCCTTCCTCACTCAATAAAATGGTATTTTAACCTGAAGATGTCCATCCTCACTCAATGAAATGGTATTTTAACCTGACAATTGTTCTTCCTCACTTAATAAAATGGTATTTTAACCTGACGATGTCCTTCCTCATTCAATAAAATGGTATTTTAACCTGACAATGTCCTTCCTACCTCAATAAAATGGTATTTTAACCTGACAATGTCCATCCTCACTCAATGAAATGGTATTTTAACCTGACAATTGTTCTTCCTCACTCAATAAAATGGTATCTTAACCTGACAATGTCCTTCCTCACTCAATAAAATGGTATTTTAACCTGAAGATGTCCATCCTCACTCAATGAAATGGTATTTTAACCTGACAATTGTTCTTCCTCACTTAATAAAATGGTATTTTAACCTGACGATGTCCTTCCTCATTCAATAAAATGGTATTTTAACCTGACAATGTCCTTCCTACCTCAATAAAATGGTATTTTAACCTGACAATGTCCATCCTCACTCAATGAAATGGTATTTTAACCTGACAATTGTTCTTCCTCACTCAATAAAATGGTATCTTAACCTGACAATGTCCTTCCTCACTCAATAAAATGGTATTTTAACCTGAAGATGTCCATCCTCACTCAATGAAATGGTATTTTAACCTGACAATTGTTCTTCCTCACTTAATAAAATGGTATTTTAACCTGACGATGTCCTCCTTATTCAATAAAATGGTATTTTAACCTGACAATGTCCTTCCTACCTCAATAAAATGGTATTTTAACCTGACAATTGTTCTTCCTCACTCAATAAAATGGTATTTTAACCTGACAATGTCCTTCCTACCTCAATAAAATGGTATTTTAACCTGACAATTGTTCTTCCTCCGTCAATAAAATGGTATTTTAACCTGACAATTGTCCATCCTCACTCAATAAAATGGTATTTTAACCTGACAATGTCCTTCCTCATTCAATAACATGGTATTTTAACCTGAAGATGTCCTTCCTCACTCAATAAAATGGTATTTTAACCTGACGATGTCCTTCCTCACTCAATAAAATGGTATTTTAACCTGACGATGTCCTTCCTCACTCAATAAAACGGTATTTTAACCTGACAATGTCCTTCCTCACTCAATGAAATGGTATTTTAACATGACAATGTCTTTTCTCACTCAATAAAATGGTATTTTAACCTGACAATGTCCTTCCTCACTCAATGAAATGGTATTTTATCCTGACGATGTCCTTCCTCACTCAATGAAATGGTATTTTAACCTGACAATGTCCTTCCTCACTCAATAAAATGGTATTTTATCCTGACGATGTCCTTCCTCACACAATAAATAGTATCTTAACCTGACAATGTCCTTCCTCACTCAATAAAATGGTATTTTAACATGACAATGTCTTTTCTCACTCAATAAAATGGTATTTTAACCTGACAATGTCCTTCCTCACTCAATGAAATGGTATTTTATCCTGACGATGTCCTTCCTCACTCAATGAAATGGTATTTTAACCTGACAATGTCCTTCCTCACTCAATAAAATGGTATTTTATCCTGACGATGTCCTTCCTCACACAATAAATAGTATCTTAACCTGACAATGTCCTTCCTCACTCAATAAAATGGTATTTTAACCTGACAATGTCTTTTCTCACTCAATAAAATGGTATTTTAACCTGACAATGTCCTTCCTCACTCAATGAAATGGTATTTTAACCTGACAATGTCCTTCCTCACACAATAAAATGGTATTTTAACCTTACAATGTCCTTCCTCACTCAATAAAATGGTATTTTAACCTGACGATGTCCTTCCTCACTCAATAAAATGGTATTTAAACCTGACAAAGTCCTTCCTTACTCATAAAAATTGCAAGTAAATAAAATGGTGTGAAAATCAAAGTAACAGTACCTGGTTAACACATTCTCCCTGAAGACACATTTGAACTCTTCAAATTCAAAGGTTGGAATAGTTCATTATGAAATTTCAAGGGTAAATGAATTAAGAGGCTACCTGTATACAGGTGCTGGCATGTGGTCCATTCAATACTGATGCAGTGACCGTCATCTGACGAGCTGAGAGGACAGCAAACTCTTGATCCTCCACACAACTTCTGTCAAACATGAATGGCTGTAGCTTCTCTGGAACCTCTGTGTGATGACAGTGATCAGGGATTAGAGTAGGTGTCAGTGATATTAAATCTCAGTAGTATTGTATGGATCCTCTGTGTGACGACAGTGATCAAGGGTTAGAGTTAGTGTCAGTGATATTAAATCTCAGTATTATTGTATGGAACCTCTGTGTGACGACAGTGATCAAGGGTTAGAGTAGGTGTCGGTGATATTAAATCTCAGTAGTATTGTATGGAACCTCTGAGTGACGACAGTGATCAAGGGTTAGAGTAGGTGTCGGTGATATTAAATCTCAGTAGTATTGTATGGAAACTCTGTGTGACGACAGTGATCAAGGGTTAGAGTAGGTGTCAGTGATATTAAATCTCAGGAGTATTGTATGGATCCTCTGTGTGACGACAGTGATCGAGGGTTAGAGTTAGTGTCAGTGATATTAAATCTCAGTATTATTGTATGGAACCTCTGTGTGACGACAGTGATCAGGGGTTAGAGTAGGTGTCAGTGACATTAAATCTCGGCAGTATTGTATGGAACCTCAGTGTGATGACAGTGATCAGGGGTTAGAGTAGGTGTCAGTGACATTAAATCTCAGTAGTATTGTATGGAACCTCTGTGTGACAACAGTGATCAGGGGTTAGAGTAGGTGTCAGTGATATCAAATCTCAGTAGTATTGTATTGAACCTCTGTGTGACGACAGTGATCAAGGGTTAGAGTAGGTGTCAGTGATATTACATCTCAGTAGTATTGTATGGAACCTCTATGTGACGACAGTGATCAAGGGTTAGAGCAGGTGTCAGTGATATTAAATCTCAGTAGTATTGAATGGACCCTCTGTGTGACGACAGTGATCAAGGGTTAGAGCAGGTGTCAGTGATATTAAATCTCAGTAGTATCGTATGGAACCTCTGTGTGACGACAGTGATCAGGGGTTAGAGTAGGAGTCAGTGATATTAAATCTCAGTAGTATCGTATGGAACCTCTGTGTGACGACAGTGATCAAAGGTTAGAGTAGGTGTCAGTGATATTAAGTCTCGGTAGTATTGTATGGAACCTCTGTGTGACAACAGTGATCAGGGGTTAGAGTAGGTGTCAGTGATATTAAATCTCAGTAGTATTGTATGGAACCTCTGTGTGATGACAGTGATCAAGGGTTAGAGTTGGAGTCAGTGATATTAAATCTCAGTAGTATTGTATGGAACCTCTGTGTGACGACAGTGATCAAGGGTTAGAGTAGGTATCAGTGATATTAAATCATGGTAGTATTGTATGGAACCTCTGTGTGACGACAGTGATCAAGGGTTAGAGTAGGTATCAGTGATATTGAATCATGGTAGTATTGTATGGAACCTCTGTGTGACGACAGTGGTCAGGGGTTAGAGTAGGTGTCAGTGATATGAAATCTCAGTAGTATTGTATGGAACCTCTGTGTGATGACAGTGATCAAGGGTTAGAGTTGGAGTCAGTGATATTAAATCTCAGTAGTATTGTATGGAACCTCTGTGTGGCGACAGTGATCAGGGGTTAGAGTTGGTGGCAGTGATATTAAATCTCAGTAGTATTGTATGGAACCTCTGTGTGACGACAGTGGTCAGGGGTTAGAGTAGGTGTCAGTGATATGAAATCTCAGTAGTATTGTATGGAACCTCTGTGTGAAGACAGTGATCAAGGGTTAGAGTAGGTGTCAGTGATATTAAATCTCAGTAGTATTGTATGGAACCGCTGTGTGACGACAGTGATCAAGGGTTAGAGTAGGTATCAGTGATATTAAATCATGGTAGTATTGTATGGAACCTCTGTGTGACGACAGTGATCAAGGGTTAGAGTAGGCGTCAGTGATATTAAATCTCAGTAGTATTGTATGGAACCGCTGTGTGACGACAGTGATCAAGGGTTAGAGTAGGTGTCAGTGATATTAAATCTCAGTAGTATTGTATGGAACCTCTGTGTGAAGACAGTGATCAAGGGTTAGAGTAGGTGTCAGTGATGTTAAATCTCAGTAGTATTGTATGGAACCTCTGTGTGACGACAGTGATCAAGGATTAGAGTAGGTGTCAGTGATATTAAATCTCACCTGAATATGTTTAAAATAATTAGTATGAAGTAGGTGCTGTAAATACATATGAAATTTCAAAAAGATCCATCCAGTACTTGAGATATAGCGAGAACAAACTTCAAACTGAGCCCCACCCTTATGCAACCTAGGGTGTGTGTCATACCCACCAATTATACAAAATTGAGTACCCTTGGCCCATTGATGCTCCAGACTAAATAAGGATAAAATCTCATAATCCTGATGGTCCAAGAAGGATTTTAAAGGTTTTACCTCTATCACTGCTTATAAAAAATTGTTTCCCCTTCACCCAAGGCTGCTTCATACCAAATTTGGACAAAATCCTGTCATTCCTACAGAAGAAGAAGGATTTTAAAGACTCGCGGTTTATACAAAATTGAGTCCCTTTTGCCTAAGGATGTTCCAGACTAAATTAGGATAAGATCCCTTATTCCCTATGGTAGAAGAAGGATTATAAAGGTTTTACCTATATTTCCCCTATTAGGCCAAGCCCCTCAGGTCCCAGAGGGGCCACACCCACCGTTTATACAAAATTGGTTCCCCTTTATCCAAGGATGCTTCACACCAAATATGGACCAAATCATTTCATTCCTACAGAAGAAGAATTTTAAAGAATAATTTGCTATGTTTCCCCTATTTGGCCCCGCCCCTCAGGCCCCTGGGGGGCCAGAACCACGGTTTATACAAAATTGGTTCCGCTTCACCCAAGGATACCTCAGACCACAAATGGAACAAATCCTATCATTCCTACAGAAGAAGAAGGATTTTAAAGAATTTGCTATATTTCCCCTGGCCCCTTTATAAAATTTGTTCCCCGACCCCCAAGGATGTTTCTGACCAAATTTGGTCCTGCCCCTCAGGCCCCTGGGGGGCCAGAACCACGGTTTATACAAAATTGGTTCCGCTTCACCCAAGGATGCCTCAGACCACATATGGAACAAATCCTATCATTCCTACAGAAGAAGAAGGATTTTATTAAAGAATTTGCTTTATTTCCCCTATTGGGACCCGCCCCTCAGACCCAAGGGGGTCTAGACCCAACGTTTATACAAAATTGGTTCCCCTTTACCCAAGGATGCTCCAAAATAAATATGGACCAAATCCTTTCATTCCTACAGAAAAAGAAGGATTTTAAAGAATAATTTGCTATATTTCCCCTATTTGGCCCCGCCCCTCAGGTCCCTGGGGGGCCAGAACCATGGTTTATACAAAATTGGTTCCCCTTCTCCCAAGGATGCTTCAGACCAAATATGGAACAAATCCTTTCATTCCTACAGAAGAAAAAGGATTTTAAAGAATTTGCTATATTTCCCCTATTGGGCCCAATTATAAAATTTGTTCCTCGTCCCCCAAGGATGCTTCTGACCAAATTTGGTCAAAATCTGCTCAGTCGTTCATGTCTAGTAGTGTTTAAAAGGAAAAGTTGATGCTCCACACCAAATATGGACCAAATCCTTTCATTTCCTACAAAAGATGCACCTTCGGACCAGGTGAGCTAATAAATGATAAGGAATGATTGCCTGGGTGTGCCTGATTCGGTGAAGAATATAGTTGGTATTAATTGAACTCGGAGAGTTTGGAAACATTATGTTATGTAATGCTGCAATATCTGTGAAAAAAGTAAATTAATGTATTATATGAGATGTATTATTGTATTTTTTATATGATATGTATTTATTATGATTTGTATTTATTATATGAAATGTATTATTGTATTTATTATGATATGTATTATTGTATTTATTATATGATATGTATTATTGTATTTATTATATGATATGAACTATTGTATTTATTAAATGATATGTATGATTGTATTTATCATATGATATGTGTATTATTGTATTTATTATATATGTATTATTGTATTTATTATATGATTTGTATTATTGTATTTATCATATGATATGTATGATTGTATTAATTATATGATATGTATGATTGTATTTATTATATGATATGTATTATTGAACTAATCATATGATATGTATTATTGTATGATATGTATGATTGTATTTATCATATGATATGTGTATTATTGTATTTATTATATGATATGTATGATTGTATTTATTGTATGATATGTATGATTGTATTTATTATATGATATGTATTATTGTATTTATTATATGATATGTATGATTGTATTTATTGTATGATATGTATGATTGTATTTATTATGATATGTATTATTGTACTAATCATATGATATGTATTATTGTATGATATGTTTGATTGTATTTGTTATATGATATGTATTATTGTATTTATTATATGATATGTATGATTGTATTTATTGTATGATATGTATGATTGTATTTATTATATGATATGGATTTATTATATGATTTGTATGTATTATATGATTTGTTTTTATTATATGATTTGTATTTATCACATGATTTGTATTTATCATATATGTAATTATTATGATTTTTATTTATTACATAATATGTATTTATTATATGATTTGTATTTATTATATGATATGTATTTATTATATGATATGTATTATTGTATTTATTATATGATATGTATGATTGTATTTATTGTATGATATGTATGATTGTATTTATTATGATATGTATTATTGTACTAATCATATGATATGTATTATTGTATGATATGTTTGATTGTATTTGTTATATGATATGTATTATTGTATTTATTATATGATATGTATGATTGTATTTATTGTATGATATGTATGATTGTATTTATTATATGATATGGATTTATTATATGATTTGTATGTATTATATGATTTGTTTTTATTATATGATTTGTATTTATCACATGATTTGTATTTATTATATATGTAATTATTATGATTTTTATTTATTACATAATATGTATTTATTATATGATTTGTATTTATTATATGATATGTATTTATTATATGATTTGTATTAATTACATAATTTGTATTTATTATATGATATGTATTTATTATATGATTTGTATCAACTACATGATTTGTGTTTATTATATGATATGTATTTATTATATGATTTTTATTTATTATATGATATGTATTTATTATATGATTTGTATAAATTACATGATATGTATTTATTATGATTTTTATTTATCACATGATTTGTATTTATTACATGATATGTATTTATTACATGATTTGTATTTATTATATGATTTGTATTTATTATATGATATGTATTTATTATGATTTGTATTTATTATATATGTTTTTATTATATGATTTGTATTTATTATATGATTTGTATTTATTATATGATATGTATTTATTATGATTTGTATTTATTATATATGTTTTTATTATATGATTTGTATTTATTATATGATTTGTATTTATTATATGATATGTATTTATTATGATTTGTATTTATTATATATGTTTTTATTATATGATTTGTATTTATTATATGATTTGTATTTATTATATGATATGTATTTATTATGATTTGTATTTATTATATATGTTTTTATTATATGATTTGTATTTATTATATGATTTGTATTTATTATATGATATGTATTTATTATGATTTGTATTTATTATATATGTTTTTATTATATGATTTGTATTTATTATATGATTTGTATTTATTATATGATATGTATTTATTATGATTTGTATTTATTATATATGTTTTTATTATATGATTTGTATTTATTATATGATTTGTATTTATTATATGATATGTATTTATTATGATTTGTATTTATTATATATGTTTTTATTATATGATTTGTATTTATTATATGATTTGTATTTATTATATGATATGTATTTATTATGATTTGTATTTATTATATATGTTTTTATTATATGATTTGTATTTATTATATGATTTGTATTTATTATATGATATGTATTTATTATGATTTGTATTTATTATATATGTTTTTATTATATGATTTGTATTTATTATATGATTTGTATTTATTATATGATATGTATTTATTATGATTTGTATTTATTATATATGTTTTTATTATATGATTTGTATTTATTATATGATTTGTATTTATTATATGATATGTATTTATTATGATTTGTATTTATTATATATGTTTTTATTATATGATTTGTATTTATTATATGATTTGTATTTATTATATGATATGTATTTATTATGATTTGTATTTATTATATATGTTTTTATTATATGATTTGTATTTATTATATGATTTGTATTTATTATATGATATGTATTTATTATGATTTGTATTTATTATATATGTTTTTATTATATGATTTGTATTTATTATATGATTTGTATTTATTATATGATATGTATTTATTATGATTTGTATTTATTATATATGTTTTTATTATATGATTTGTATTTATTATATGATTTGTATTTATTATATGATATGTATTTATTATGATTTGTATTTATTATATATGTTTTTATTATATGATTTGTATTTATTATATGATTTGTATTTATTATATGATATGTATTTATTATGATTTGTATTTATTATATATGTTTTTATTATATGATTTGTATTTATTATATGATTTGTATTTATTATATGATATGTATTTATTATGATTTGTATTTATTATATATGTTTTTATTATATGATTTGTATTTATTATATGATTTGTATTTATTATATGATATGTATTTATTATGATTTGTATTTATTATATATGTTTTTATTATATGATTTGTATTTATTATATGATTTGTATTTATTATATGATATGTATTTATTATGATTTGTATTTATTATATATGTTTTTATTATATGATTTGTATTTATTATATGATTTGTATTTATTATATGATATGTATTTATTATGATTTGTATTTATTATATATGTTTTTATTATATGATTTGTATTTATTATATGATTTGTATTTATTATATGATATGTATTTATTATGATTTGTATTTATTATATATGTTTTTATTATATGATTTGTATTTATTATATGATTTGTATTTATTATATGATATGTATTTATTATGATTTGTATTTATTATATATGTTTTTATTATATGATTTGTATTTATTATATGATTTGTATTTATTATATGATTTTTATTTATCACATGATTTGTATTTATTATATGATTTGTATTAATTACATGATTTGTATTTATTATATATGTAATTTGTATTTATTATATGATTTGTATTTATTATATGATATGTATTTATTATATGATATGTATTTATTATATGATTTGTATTTATTATATGATATGTATTTATTATATGATATGTATTTATTACATGATATGTATTTATTATATGATTTGTATTTATAATGATTTGTATTTATTATATGATTTTTATTTATCACATGATTTGTATTTATTACATGATTTGTATTTATTATATGATTTGTATTTATTATGATATGTATTTATTATGATATGTATTTATTATATGATATGTCTTTATTATATGATATATTTATCATATGATATATTTATCATATGATATATATATCATATGATATATTTAATATATGATATGTCTTTATTATATGATATGTATTTATCATATGATATATAATTTATCATATGATATGTATTTATCATGATAACTACACTTTCACAATAACAGCTATATTTCATTATTGTTGATTTACGGAACACAACAATTCCACACAGGTATGAGTCCCTGCTTTTGTACAGATGTTTCTGTGTAGAACTGTAACATTGTCCTTAGTAACTGTACAGATGTTTCTGTGTAGAACTGTACATTGTCCTTAGTAACTGTACAGATGTTTCTGTGTAGAACTGTAACATTGTCCTTAGTAACAAGTATACCCTTTCCCAAGTAGGTCAGGTGGTTCTGGAGGTGGACCTCAACAGCAGGCACAGACAGGTAGACCTGAACAGATGGAATCAGGCTCGGAACATAGCAGGAGTCAACGCACATTGAAGCAGCAAGGGATTCTGGGAGAATTGCCAGGTCAGATACGGGAGTCGCTTCCTCATCACTTGAGCTGTGATCAAAGCAACATTAAATTCTGATTAAACGTCCTTCTGATCAATCATTTTTACGGTTTTCAAAAGATAGAATATATTTTGACAACTTTGCATAATGCAGTTAGCCTAAAATACACTTCAATATTATGAAATACCATCTCTCATGTGAACCCTACACAAGGCAACAACCCTACACAAGGTAACAACCTACACAAGGCAACAACCCTACACGAGGCTACAACCCTACACAAGGCAACAACTCTACACAAGGAAACAACTCTACACAAGGCAACAACCCTACACAAGGCAACAATTGTACACGAGGCAACAACCCTACACAAGGCAACAATCCTACACAAGGCAACAACCCTACACAAGGAAACAACCCTACACAAGGCAACAATCCTACATGAGGCAAAAACCCTACACGAAGCTACAACCCTACACAAGGCAGCAATCCTACACAAGGCAACAACCCTACAAAAAGCAACAATCCTACACAAGGCAACAACCCTACACAAAACTACAATCCTACACAAGGCAACAACCCTACACAAGGAAACAATCCTACACAAGGCAACAACCCTACACAAGGCAACAACCCTACACAAAGCAACAACCCTACACAAGGCAACAACCCTACACAAGGCAACAACCTTACACAAGGCAACAACCCTACACAAGGCAACAACCATACACAAGGCAACAATCCTATACAAGGCAACAACCCTACATGAGGCTACAACCCTACACAAGGCTACAATCCTACACAAGGCAACAACCCTACACAAGGCAACAATACTACACAAGGCAACAACTCTACACAAGGCAACAACCCTTCACAAGGCAACAACCCTACACAAGGCAACAGCTCTTCACAAGGAAACAACCCTACACAAGGCAACAACCCTACACAAGGCAACAATCCTACACAAGGCAAAAACCCTACACAAGGCAACCATTGTGGTAGATATATACAACATAGCAATAAGTTTGTTCATTGGAATTTTTGCATTGAAATTAAAGTTCCTTTCTAAATTTCAGAATTGCATTACATAAGTATTGGACAAGATAATCCTTGATCAGAATATTCTACAATTAATCTTTCTAAATTTTATATTGGGAGCTGTTGATTAAATGCTGTTACCTGTTATGTGTTAGCATGGTGTTATGGATAAGGACCCGCCATGTCTGGGCCACCACAAGGTCACTGGTGTTTATGACCTTGACCTCTGGGAGCTGTAGAATGGTCTGTGTGTCCTCAGACAGCTCAAAGTCCACATAGGGAAGATAATGCTGGGTGGCCGTGTCCTGGTACTGGAGGGTACAGGGGATATAAGGGTAACCAATACATCAGTGAGAATCAGACACTGAGGGATGAGTGGCCATGTCCTGGTACTGGAGGGTACAGGGGATATAAGGGTAACCAATACATCAGTGAGAATCAGACACTGAGGGATGAGTGGCCATGTCCTGGTACTGGAGGGTACAGGGGATATAAGGGGACCAATACATCAGTGAGAATCAGACACTGGGGGATGAGTGGCCATGTCCTGGTACTGGAGGGTACAGGGGATATAAGGGTAACCAATACATCAGTGAGAATCAGACACTGAGGGATGAGTGGCCATGTCCTGGTACTGGAGGGTACAGGGGATATAAGGGGACCAATACATCAGTGAGAATCAGACACTGGGGGATGAGTGGCC